GAAATGCCGTGCCGTCCACCGAGACCGGTTGGCCCTGCGCGAACAGGAACGGTCGAGGCTCCTAAACCTTGCACCATGCGCACCTGCTGGTGGAGCAGTCTGCTCAGCATGATGGCCGATCAGAACGCCAATAGCGTACAGCAACGCATGCATCTGCCAAGACGCCTACAGTTGACTGGGATCATTGTCGTCTGGCTCGTGGCGAACGCTGGTCGTTCTCAATCGCACCAAGTGCCAAGCGTGGTGCGCCAAGCAGGCTGTATAGGACGAAGCCGAAGAGAACTGGCAAGAGCAGAGCAAGAACGTATATATTTCGACGCAGAAAAGAAAAAGAAACCCGACCACCAATCACCGAAGAAATGCATGGTCGTCTGTCGAAAACCAGCAGACGCGGCCAATGGTGGCTGGGCCTGCTACGTTCCACAGCCTGGCCAGCCCAAGCATGGTACCCAGTTTGCCGGTGGCAGCGAGCGTGTCGCTCAGAGTGTCGAGCAGTACATGGCGCGGGTATCGTGCCAGCAGGTGCGCGTGGCCGTGTTTGAGGGCGAGGGCAGGGCTGTACTCGGGAAATCCGCGCGAGAGGACCGCAGCGAGCGTCAACGGGCTCCTGGCGGCAGGGAGCGCGTTCATCACTGCCAGCGCGTCCCGTCCTCGGGCGAAAACGTGGCGCCGGCGGCATTGGCCAGGATAATGTAGGCAACATGGTCAATCATTTTTTCGAATTTTTTTGGATCCAAGGAGCGTCGGATCAACGCAACTTCCAGCCATGAAAAGATCGGCCGAGGGCAGCTGGATCTGTTGTTGCATGTCTTCGTGAGGTGTCCCTCTCTTTGGCAAACTCATATTTGAAAATGGACCAAATACTGCCCGGCGAGCTTCACGTCCGCGTCTTGACGTTTCTGGACCTCCCGGCCATCCTGGTCTATCGCGCCGCCTCGCGCTGCCTGAACAGCCTCACCCCAATGATGCTCGAGCACGACCCCACCACGCATGTCGTTATGGCTCTTGTCAGCGGCGGCAATTCAGTCGTGGACGCCATTTTCCGGACGTCTGAAGTGTTCTACCCTTGCGACCTCTTCTCCATGGTCATATCGCGCCTCCTGTTCCGCCCGCACCGTAACCGCCGCCACGCCCTCAAGCTATTGACGTTGCCGACAATCATTCGCGACCTCGTGCACCATCCCGAGTATGGACTCGATGTCAAGGGTATTGCTCAGATACTATACAACGTGTGCGAGTTTCACCGTTCATGGCAGTGCACTTGGTGAGCCTGCTTGGGCTGGCTGGCCCTGGCTGGTTTCCTGGCAATTTGGCTAAAGACGCCCGCGACGACGACTATAGGCAGGAAATATATGCGGCCATGCTGAACTTTGGTCGCCTGGAGGATCCCCGCCTTGCCGACATCGTCGAGGTCATTGCCGACGAGTTCTCATACCTTGCAACCCTGGGATGGTGTGGAATTGTGACAGAATGTGCCCAATCGGAGCATGGGATACCGGAGCCTTTTCACTGGACGCTGGACCTGGTAATGGTAATTTTTTCAATCATTTATCTTATTATTGTCTGCTCGCCTGTGCTTTTTCATTGCTCAAAGACAATCCTGGTGTGTATAAAAGCATGATTCTCCCTCTCGGCGGCCTCGATTGGATCATGTCACTTGTCCGCAACAACGATCTGAAACCAGTTGCACTTGGCACTGAGCTTTTGCATCATGCCATGGTCTACTGTATTTCTGTCACGAGCGTGTTTGCGCATCCTGGTGTTGCGTCTGGACTGGTCCAAGCACGTTCGCATGCTGCTTCATCGCAATGGAAACATATTGATACGCTATGGGCCATTGCCGTGCACTTTCTTCCAACCCGACATCAGTACCTGGACGATATTCTCGGCTCGGATCTCCTCAAGAGCATTACCACTGGATGCAACCAACAACCCGCTCCCGAACCTTTCTTGACTCGCGCTGTGGATGCAGTGGTAGACCTCTACATACGCGTGAGACCAGAGGCAGTTACCCCCGTCGTGGCTCTTGATTGCGCAAACGCCGTTATTTCTCTGTACCGCCAACCACTCCGCAACCACTCAATCATCATTCTGGTTATTTGCCAGCTGCTGGATAACCCAAATTCGACCGCAACCAACTTGCTATTTGAGCAGCCGGATATTCCCGACCTTTACGTCTGCACGATTGTGACTTCCACCCTGAGCATCCGAGACCGCACTGATGCGTTTCCCACAACAACTGGCATCTGGGGCCGTGCTGGATCCGAACGGCATCCAGGTAGCTCGGTGGAACTGTGCGCTTGCATCTCTGGGCGGCTGGGATCGAGTTGGGACCTAATGTCCAATGCGGATGTTTACCACTTGCCACTTCTCCTGAATGCCATCGTAAGCATGTGTTTTGGGGAACCAATGGTTCTGGCGGCCATGGCGGCTCCTCCTCCGACCCGACGGTGGTGCACCCAGCTCATCGAATCGAGTGTCCGAGTTCAGCCTTTGATGGACCAAGACGTGGACCTGGTGCTCGCCAACCTGGTGAAATGGTGTGATCGCTCTGATGACATGCCCGCGAAGCTTGAGGTGCTACATTCCTCGTCCGATCTTGTATTTGTCAAGTCGAATCTGCGGCTCATGATGGCTGTGATTGATGTCCTTGATCCGCAACTGTCTGGAACGGGTCCAAGCCGGCTGTTGGTGGCATACCGACAGCGGGTCGTGGACGCCGTCGCAAGCACATGTCCTCGATACTTGGCGAGTCCGTCGGTGCACAGCGAGTCGTTGTGCACGCAGTGCAATGAGCAGTTGTTGAGTTTTTGGGATTAATTTTAATAAAAAATAAAGTCCCCTTTGGTCCGTCGTCTGCGATCCGCTTAGCATAGTCCACCAGCCGCGAGACTCGTCCGCTTTGACTAAAAAATATTAACAAAAAATGATAGACGGGATGGGATTCGAACCCATGCGCATTTCTGCATAAGTGCCTAAAACTTACGCCTTAAAACCACTCGGCCACCCGTCCAGGAGGGCTCTGCCCTGACCGGTATATTTTTCTCGGCGCCCTTTGATGGCGAACATATATTCAATAGGGCAGCAGGTAAGATTAATAATAGAGAAATAAGCAATATAACTGATCACGCAAACGATTGGCTGCGTCCGGCAGCGCCTAAGCGGCGCGCCAGCGACATGTCCTTGGCCATGATGGTGACGCGCTTTGCGTGGACCGCGCACAAGTTTGCTTTTTTTTTTTGAGGGTCAGTTTTAATATTTCGATTGCAGAAGAATAAATGGAGACCACCGTACCGCTTTCCATAAACGCAACCAGGAATGCTTCTGCGCCTTCTTGCAGAGCCATCATCGCATTCGATTGGAACCGAATGTCCATTTCTGGTGATGGGATTCCATTTAAGATTTTCGTGATAAGTGCCAAAAAAAAAAGAAAGAGATTGCATACTGTAATCCTGGGCGATTTCTCCTGTACACATATTGGTGTGAGTGAATATCTAGCAGTGATACAACGTGTACACACGAATCAGCCGTTGGAACGGTGCCCTGCGAATCAGCAGATTCGTGGTCTTTTGGAGCCGGCCAATCTCAGCAAGCACCTGGGGGTTGATCGAATGCTGTCAGCATTACCGGCCGCAAAATTGAAGCATAAAAGTACGAATATACCGTTCGGTCAGGACGATAGCGTTGCGCTGCATCCGAAGCCGACCGCTTGGGCTGCTGGCGCAGTGCCGATCTACCATTCAATTGTTGTTGGATCAAACAAGCGCAAATCAAAAAACCAGTGGAAGCGCGCACGCTGGGACACGAATTGCCGGCCCTTTGCCGGCCCGAAGTCGGTTTTGCCCGCGTGGGGGTTGCGCCGGCATCGATTTACCAGCTAATTTTATGCCAGGTCGTGGTGTGACGGTTGATACCGGCGGCGGCGGTGGTGCTGTTGAAGAAGACAAGGTTGTTGAGGAGGAGGCCGCTGTCGGCGGTGTATACGGTGGCCGGCCCGTGAGCGATGCGGGGCCGATACGTCTGTAAGCTAGGCGTTGAATGCAACTAAATTACGATGGGACATCAAATCAAGACGGATACCGTTGCACCGCGGTGATCTTGGTGCGTGCCCTGCAATGATGATAATTCGGGTGAGTATTTCTGTTAATGCCGGTGTCAGCGGAATTGGTATTCATCAAATACATGATTGTGTGTATTCTGTTCGCTTGTTCGCGAAGAGAAGGAAAAAAAAAACTCAACACAACTCGCACGCATGCCCACACCCCGTCGCACACTCGCGCACGCCCGATCCGAACCACTCGCTCAAGCACTGCAAGTGCCCTCCATGCCCGCACCCCTGGCACCACGCGTACTGCCCACGAACCAACCGGTGGCTATATATATATCAAAAAATCGGAGTAAGTAAAAACCCTTTCATGAAGAAATCAAAGGCGAAACGAACCATAAGGAGCACGGATTCACCAGCTTCATGCACCGCTCGCACGCCCAGACGCCCTCTGGCCGCCCGAGGATCGGCTTAAAGCACATGTTGCACGACGTGTGCACCACCGTGGACTCGAACATTTGTGCGCGCACGTCTGGCAGCGGGCACGCGCCGAGGACCGCCACGGCGCTTGCATATTGCTTGAATCGCGAGAGAATTTCTGTTCAACATTTCGTTGTGTGAGCCAATATTTCCAAACAAAGTTAAAAAAAACGAACCCAAGAAACCCAGGAACCACTCCTCGACCACCAGCTTGTCCATCCATGTCGGCACCGTACTCGCAGCCCCGCCACCCGACAGCAGCCCAGCGAGTGTGGCACACATGTGCACCTCTCCCGCATCCGAATGGTACTCCAGCACGTCCCGGGCCATATCGATGGCAGTCGACAAGTCAACAAACGATCCAGCAACGCTTGTCGCGCTCAGGGACGCCCCAACACTAGCGTCGTCGCCCATCAGGCCGCGCATCAGCAGTGACGGTGGCGTGGACGCCGCCAGCGACGGCGCAAACGCCGACCGTGATCCCGTACCGCCGCCACCGGGCACACTCGACGACCCGCCCGGACCACTACTGGCGCGCGGGGTTAAAGGTAAAGGGCCAATCACCGTCATGGCCGTAGATGGCCGCGACGCGGAGCTGCTGCCGGCGGATAATGGGCGCGGCGAGATCAGCGACCCGCTGCCCCCACCGCCACCACCGCCACCGCCGGCTCCAATCGAGTGCGCCATGGGACTGTCGCAGGGACTCCCGACGTACGAGGCGGCAGCGGCAGCGGTAGCGGCCGCGGTGGTGGCCAGCCCGGACGCCTGCGACCCAGACCGTGCCCGTACGCGCGCCCTGCCTAGCGTCGACGACGACGACGACGCGCTCGAGTCGGGCGGAGTGCTTCCACCGGCAAGCATCATGGGGGCTAGTGGCGGTGGCGTTCCGACCCCGCGCCGCACGCCGAGCCCAACTGGACCTCCACCAGTTGGTACGACAGCTGTCGTGGCGGGCGTGGCGGGCATGCCCGTCCACGGGTCGGTCGATCCCGAGAGCGAGTTGGCGCGCGACGACGAGAGCAGGGCAGACGGGCGACTGCCGAGCGATGGCGTAGCGTCCAGACTTGCAGGCGATCCGCTCAAGTGACTGGTCCCCAAAAAGGGCGGACCCGACTCTGCCGTGGTCGTCGCTGCTACCGCTGTCGTTGCCGCCGCTGATAACCGCGCCGCCGTGTCCAGCACCAGCGGCAAAAACAGCGTGCCCGCCAGCTGCCACGTGCGCCACTCGCTCTCACGCCCAATTTCCGCCGCCACCACCGCATTGTGCGCGCACGCGGCCGCAAAGTCCGCCGCCACTTGTTTGGGCGACGTGTCGAATGGGACCGAGAGACAGTAGTGCTCGGCCTGGTACAGCACGCCGCGCATGTCGTCCATGGGGTGCCCCATCGGAAGTGCGGGCGTGAGCTGGAACGCGAGCTGCGACGGCTTGTACTCGGGGATGGTTGCGGACTGCTGTTCCTCGGCAATCGCGGCAGCGGCTAGCCCAGAGACTTGCGCCGAGCTCGATGAGGGCGAGTGCGTCACGCGGCCATCGGGACGGAACTTGCTGCGCCGAGAAAACAGGCCGGGGGCGACCATAGGGCTTTTATACCTATACATGCATGTGTCAGCGCATGTTATCTAAGGAGTGAGGAATAAAAAGAAAACGCACGGCTCGGCTTCCAGCAACTCGACGGGTGTCACTCCGTGAGTGGCGCCCAAAGCTCCTCCCTCAGCAGTCACCCCCGCTGCGCTTTCCCATGCATGCGACCGATCAGCCGCCGCCGCCGTCGAGGACTGGACGCGCACGTCCACGCACGCCACAATCTCGCCATCGATTCCCCACGTGACGGAAGCGCGCGGCAGCACCGTCGACGGGTCGAAAGCCGCCGCCACTGACCGGTGCACGACGCGCTTGTCCTTTCCGCACGACCACAGCGTGTCGGCATCGGCCCACACGAACCCGGTGGCGGCGTTGGTGTGCTCGTCAAACCAGAACCGCGGGATCGAGGGGCGCGCCAAGTCCCACACGTGCACGCGCGCGTCGGTGAGCAACGCCGATGACGCCAAGTGCATGCTGGACGTCGGCGGGGTGCTGGCCGTGGCAGCAGGAAAGCCGCCGGCTCCGACACTGCCGCCAATACTGTGCTGGTACGCGGTCGAGGCATGCGTGGGTGCTGGACGCCAGGCCAGTCGGCCTACAGACGCGATCGTTTGCACCGTGAACGTGGGGCGTGGCAACGTTCCGGACGCGAGCGACCGCAGATCCCAGACCTAACGTTTTCTTTTTCATTAAGATAAAGAAAAAAAAAAAAAAATTTGAGAAGGTACCTTGATGAGCTTGTCGCGACCACCCGAAGCCAACCATCGCCCGCCAGCATGGTAGTCAACCGCCAGCACCAAACCATTATGTGCGGTGAATTTCTGCTCGCATGCCTGTGGGCGCCGCAGATCCCACACCTGCACGATCCCGTTCTCGAACGCGGCCGCAAACTCGTTAGGATTGGTCGGCGAGAACTGACAATCTCGCACCGATTCCGCTTTCCCGTCAAACGAGTGTGTCGCGGTGCTCTTGGTTCGGAGATCCCACAGCTTGAGAAGGCCGTCCTGCGATGCAGAGAGGAGCAGGTGCGGATCGGTGGCGTGAAAGGCGAGACGGTTGACAGCACGCGCGTGCTCGGTGATAACGCGGTCGAGTTTCTGGCCCGTGCGAGTCAGATCCCATACCACAATGGCTCCGTTGGTGGCGGCGGTGGCAATGGTGGATTTGGCGCCTGTATGTGCCAATTGGGATGGATCAGTCCAAATCAATGAATCATAGCATATTGGTACTGACCAGCGTTGCCCCATTTGACGTCGTTGGAGGATAAGTTGAGGTTGATGCGTGCACCGGTGCGCAGGTTCATGTGGTCCTTGACCACGCCGTCGGAGATCCGGACGATCTTGAGCACTGGTTTCCATTGTTATGAATGGATAGACTCGAGATGATACAAAGTATCGAGATACCTTCACGTCCGGCAACCACGGCCAGATCGCGATCGGGGCTCAGGGCCATGGCGTTGAGTGCGCCGGACGCGCGATGAACCAGAGTGGTAGAGGCATCTGGTGCAAGAGTGGGACGTAAAGACGGTGGAGGCGGTGGAAGTAATAGGGGTGAACCAGGGGGCACGGGCGACGACGCGGACGACGACGAGGATGGCCCTCCTCCGAGTAAGGCGGCGCGGATGCGGTCGGGCGAGAGTGCTGGCAATGACGAGGCGGCGTGGGCAGAGGCAGAGGCAGAGGCAGCAGCGGCAAAGAGCGAGGCCGAGGACGAGTACGGGGTGTGCACGGCCGAGCTGTTGTTCGTGTTGTTGTTGTGACCACCGACACTGCTTGGCCGCTGGTGCTGCATTTTTGAAATTGTTTTAAACGCGTTTTTATTCGCGTTGCTTCTTCACGCTTTCACCTCTTTCGCCACTCAACACCACACACGACGCACCTCGCCAATAACACCCATTTTCCCCCCT